TCTTTTGATTTATATTATAGACAATACCATCTATTTATGTCTTTCTTTCTTTGCTCTTCTGCTTTTCTTCTGTTCTCTTTGATTTTTTTTTTTCAGTGATTCCTGACCCATTCTCTTGTTTTACTCCACAGCAATGGCAAACTGTTGGCAGTGGTTCAAGATCAGTGTGTGGAAATTAGGTAATTACTGAACTCTGTCTCTCTCTTTGAGGCTGTGTGTGTGTGTGTGTTTGTGTGTGTGTGAGTGATAGTCTTAATTAAGGGGGTGATTTATCACATCTCGCTTTAACAAAGAAGTCCAATGTCAGCTTGCATTTAAAAGATGAAAACTGTGTTTCGAGCATCAGTACAGAGTGTAATCCATCACAGGAAAATATTTGAATCAGTTTAGTGTACTTTCGTAGCACCCATCTGAAAAAATTCAAGCTAACAATGGAAACACCAATGCTTCCCTTTTCATTTGTGGGTGTATAAGGAAAGCGATCAAACATACACACGCATGAATATCTGTGTGTTCTTTTTCAGTGCTTGTAATTATTTCCTGACATAAATCCAATTTCCCTGTGCGCAGAAAAAAATGCACTCAGTCAGCAGTGTGCTTCACTGACATAATGTAGTGCTTTAAAATGAGCAAAATTTCAAAATGAAAATCTATAGCCGTGAACTAGATATATTAGGATGCCTTACTCTCTGGAGACTAATCGTACACTCGTTGTAAAGCGTTTGCTCCACGTGACCCTTTGTGTAACTGGAAGGCGGTTTCATACATGGAGCAATATGAAAAAGCTGAATGTTTCTGTTTCTCAGTATGCTCAAATTTAAATGTAGTTGACCTTTTATGATCAAGAGCAGTCAGGTCTCTTCGCTTTTGCCTCTGCTTGATAGTGTGGGCTACTCTTTTGTCCTTTTTTCACACTGTTGTTGTTTAATCACAACGTTTTATAGCTGCGCTTCATGGCATGAATTGAGTTGTGTGAGTGGGTGTTAAGTCAGCTCAAGGCCTTATCCCCTGAGCTCCTTTAAGAGTCTGTCGAAACACTGCCTACCCCCACTTGTCTGCTTGATCTATTGAGCTACTTTAGTTGGCAGGCCGTCAGTGGCTGTTATAACCCAACTTATACCAGTTCGTATAAGAAGTGTATCAATGTCTCACTGTGCAATGCCACCTCTCCTTACTTTTTTTTTTTCTGTGTGTGCACGTTTCCTCCTCAGGTCTGTGAGAGATGACTTTGGCTCACTCATTGGGAAGTGCCAGGGTAAGACCTTGTCCCTGTGTATTATCAGTCACATTCTTGTTCCTGGTAAATGACGATTAAATCGCCATAACTCACTTCACTAAGCACTCCGTTTGTTTTATAAATGTGGGGGTTAATGTTGTAGAGTACAGTGTGTGTGCCCTTGTACTCCTTTATGTGGTATGTCAGATGCTTTGAGTTTATTTAAGAGATATCTGGTTTGTGTGTGTGTTTTCTTATACCATGTAATGAACTACTCTAGTTACACGTATATGAATAGAAAAGATTGCAATTTTACTGTGTTAATGCCTTAAAGTCTAGAACCCAAAAATCCAACCTTTTGTTGCTTTATTGTTGTTTAATTTTGTATTTATTGTTCTGTTAGTCTGAGCGCAGGTGACTAACTCAGAAATAGAAAACATTTTTAAGGTCTCTGGTGGATAAACTATGCACCATCAACACTCTCCTATCTCTTCTTTTCTTAAATTTTTTATCTCTTGGTCATAATAAATGCCAGAAGGAAAGAGTTGGTGAACATCTGCTTTGGTTCTTTTGTGGTTTATGAGCCCTTTTGGTGCTAGTTTTTAATAATGTAGGTTTATTTTGTGTTTTCAGCTTAATAATGGCATCCTTAATTTGCATCAACATCCCATTGGACCTCATGTTGAGAGTTGAACAGCTATGAAATACAAGTTTAATAAGTGAACACATTTGCCTGAATCTGAGCAAAGCATAAAAAATCTTGAATCAACTCCAGACTTTTTATTTGCTTAATATTTCATAGCATAACAAGGGAACAGGCCTCACCTGGACATCAAACTGCTGGCTGTAATTCAGTTAATGCAATACTTTAGTAATCCTCCTTCAGTTAAAGCTGAAAGTCTGCACTTTGTTTGTGTTAAAATACACTCTAGTCTTGTAGAAAGGCAAAATTGCAAGAATTGTTATTGCACAAATACTCAGGATTCTGATTGTGTATTAGAAATGGTATACACATCACAAGCCTTGCAGCTGACTGACAACCTGTCCAGTCTGCCACCCCATGATAGCTGGGATACGCTCCAGCCTCCCAATGACCCTGAACATACTGTTGGTTTCACATTAAGTTACTGGACATATTAAATATCCTAGCTATACTGTTTTAGGATTAGGAATCCACCAAATAGCTACTGTGGCATCCACCTCTGATGTCAGTATGCCTCTGACAGCAGGCATTACACTAGTAGAATACAACCAGTGTAGCTAAATAATAAGCATTGTGTATTTACAGTGTTTTTATTTATTTAGAACTGTAACATGTGTATACAAAACCTCATAAAATCAAATTGATGTTAAAAGCAATAACTGTAAACGCTGTAGGTATTAAAGCTGATTTGCATCCCCTGAATAATTAGAAGAAATTATGTATTTGGATCAGCAGTCCTTAATTTGGAGACTTGTTTCTACAAGTGATCCCACACAATCCTTCAGGGCATATTGTCAGATTTTCTAGATGCATAAATTAGAGTACTGTGATGACGTTGAACGGTGTCGATTCACTGGCCTCTGTGGATCACTGCAGAGTAAACCGCTGTTATGAATCTGCTGTGAATGAAAGCTGGGAAACAAAGGAATCGGAGCTGCTTCGTGTGGCATCTTTCCATCTGCAGCTATCAAAAGTCCACTCTGTGATTGAGGTTGACTCTTAAGCTGTAGTTCTAAATTCACTGTATGTAAATTGAACATTATGTTATGCACAATATTTGTTGTGCTTCTTAACGTCTGCTCTGAGCTTGGAGTGTGTGTGAGACTGTGTGAAAGACACGTGAACAGCATCCGGGATAATCACCTCGGTGTCTACATGATCGCTCATTAAACGCAGCCTTGTTGTGACAGATAAAAACAGTTAGTCTTAATTAGACGATGAAATTGTGTGCTGTGTTAGTTTTATTGCCGTATCTGAACATAGGTAAGCCCCAACTTTCTGTGAGCTCAGACGTTTAAAACATATAATGCTGAAGTGTCTTCTAATGCAGTTGGACAAATTTAGATGTTTTATATTTATGGTTTGTTTATTTTTTGTTGTTTTTGTTTATTTAAGCCTACAGTGGTTATGTAACAAATCCAGATATAATCCACCCCCCCAGCACTAATGGACCACTTGGTTCATAATTACCTTACTCAACACAGTTTCCTACATAAGTGTAATAATTTTGATCTGATAAGCTACTGAATAATACTACATTTTAAGGCGCTATATCTAAGTATTTTACTCTGAAAGTTCAGCCATCCCTGGCCTGGACTCATGATCTACTTCTCCTATTTTGGACAGGGCACTATATAGTCTCCCTGTGAAGAGAGTGCACTTTAAGACTGTGAAATCGAACTTGGTTTATAAAATGCTTACATATATAAGACCTGTAGGTCCACTCAGCGAACACTTCAACAGGTCCACCTTGCTAGTACCCGCTTTTTGCCTTCAGAACTGCCTCAGCTCTTTGTTGCATTCAGCCTCAGTTTTCTGTCTGTAGCTGAAAGGAGTGGCTGCTGTAGCCCATCTGCTTGCAGTTCAATTTCATACATAAAAGATGGATTTAGTCTACATTTGCTGCAATGCTGGCATGTTTCCCCTGGGAACCCACTGCTGTTCCCACTGCTCATGCTGATCACAAACCTTTCAGTGCCTGTTGCAACTGCAGTAGAATTGAGCTCAAGCCAATCAAACACCCTCGTCTTAAACCAGGTTCTCTTTCTGACAGAAGCTGTCAGGAGGGGGTAAATCCAGGCAGGTCTGGGTTTAGAATAACAGGCAATATAATGGGGATGGTTACTATGGCTTCTAAAAGTGTCTGAACAATAAATTGACAATACTGGCATCAATTCAAATATGAGAAGTGTCGCTGCCAGATTCCCTTTGCCGTCCTTTATGTTTCTGATATTTCTAGGCATTACAAACAAGAAGGCATTGGTCATGAGTGTATACACTCTTCTTTCACTTTGTTAGGTACAGCTTGCTGGTAATTTGTTGGACCCCCTTTTTCCTTCAGAACAACAAGGTGCATGAAAACATTCCTCAGAGACTTTGGTCCATGTTGACATGATAGCAATCACACAGTTGCTGCAGATTGGTGGGCTGCACATACCTGTTGTGTTCATCCCAAAGGAGCTCTATTGGGATGAGCTCTGGTGACTGTGGAGGGCATTTGAGCTTTGTGACAACAGACATCAGAAGTAGTAGAGTGTGGTCATAAAGGGATGGTCAGGAATAATGCTTGGATATGCTGCAGCATTTAAATGATGGGGGACCAAAGTGTGCCAAGAATCACCACCACCAGCCTGAACTGTTGACATAAAGTGAGATAGATCCATGCTTTCACGTTGTTTACGTCAATTTCTGACCCTACCATTCCAATGTGGATGTATCCAGGAAAATTCAAGTAGATAAGCAATTTGTGAAATACTAAGACCAGCCAATCTGGCACCAACAACTAAGCCACATTCAGAGTCACTTAAATCGCCTTTCCTCCCCATTCTGATGTTTGGTTTAAACTTCAGCAGGTCTCTTTACCATGTTAACGTTCCTCAA